TCTCATAGTAGACCAAGTATATTTTCTGAAATGATTGTAATGTGAACATAGTACTATTCGCAAATAGTATGTCTGAAATCATATACATTTTTTTATGGTTTATTTGTTTGTTTTAATGAGTGTGGTATCTTAGATACTAAATATAATAGGTGGACAATATTGGTTGTATTGGATGATTGCAATATATAGATGTCTAATTGCATGTTAACTGACACTGCCCTTACTTTCGTCATTCATCGATCAATCATGAGTTCTCGAAATAGGCTAGATTTAATTTATGTATGATTTACATATCCGACTAGAAGTGGCAATCTGACCTTGACCTCAGTTTCATAGTTCATTGGTAAATATTAAGTATTGGTGGTTATAGGTCTGTATCTCGGATAATAATAAAAAACATTCATGAAAGATACTATGCAGATGTATAACTGTATTCTCCAAACTCGCGTTTCCCTACAAAGGATTCATTAGTGACGGTCGATTTAGAAAAAAAAAAATATGGAACTTAGAATAATTGGTAAGATTGCCAATGAAACCACTCTCTACAAGAGACCAAATGTCTTTGATGATAGAGACTACATGACACCGTACGACACTCAACGCGGAGCAGAAATCTTTACCTCTTAGACAATCAAAAACGTGAAAATCATCGGCATCATTTATAATGCATAAACCTAAAAACCGAAAAGATAACGTTAGAATAGATATAAGAAGAAGTGGTATGAGTGCTAATGAGACAACTCTCTCATCCAATTCACAGTTTGTAAAAGTAAACCATTATAGGTCAAAGTACAGTCTTCAACATGGAGCCTTGGCTCACACCGAACAGCAAGCTATAAAGGGCCCAAAAAAATGACATGTGTAAAACTATTCAAAGGGGAAAACCAACGGTATAATCTATATAAAAAACGAGAAACGAGAAACACTTATGATCCACATCAACAAACGACTGAACATCAGACTTCTGTTTGATCTTGATCAATATTGTGATAGTCAAGTTTTTCAGATACTTTTACTAATCGGTCAACTTGACTTATTTTGTTGACCCATTTTCCTCAAGACTATTTTGCCGACATTAATACCAATTTACCAATCATAATTTCTTTGATAGAGGGTTGCTGCTCACAAAAAAGCTGTTAAAACAAGAGTTCCAAGTGGTGAAGTTAAAATCTTCCCCTCGTAAGTTTTACGGACGCCAGGATAGGTTTCAAATGTCTTAACTACAATCCCGTCCCCTTTTCCTTGAATGTGGCCTACCGAATTAGACTTGTTACCGGCTTTGTACTAACATGAGCAAAACGATGAGTGCCACGTGTGTAACAGGAACTGCTTTTAAAAAAAGATATGTGGTATGATTGCCATGAGACAACTCTCCACAAGAGACCAAATGACACAGAAATTAACAGCTATAGGTCACCGTACGGCATTCAACAATGAGCAAAGCCCATACCGCAAAGTCAGCTATAAAAGACCCCGAAATTACAAATGTAAAACAATTCAAATGAAAAACTAACGGCCTAATTATTGTACAAAAAAATTAACGAAAAACAACACCAACAAACACCAACCACTGAATCACAGGCTCCTGACTTGGGACAGAAAACATACATACAGAATGTGGCGGGGTTATACATGTCACCCCCAGTTTTGCTCAGTATGTTATGTGTTGTGTACTTTAATTTTTTGTGTGTTTGTATGTTTGTCTTTTTCTTTTTTAGCCATGGCGTTGTCAGTTCATTTTTTACTTCTGAGTTTCAATGCCCCCTTGGTATCCTTCGCTTCCCTTTTTAGATGGAACATTTCTGCTTGAAACCTTAAATTTTCCATTTTCCTTATCTATCTGTAAGCTTGAAACATTGTGTATGGTTTTATCCTTAGAAAATGCATAGCATCCTTCAATTTCGTTCAGATTAAGAAATGTTTGCCAAAGTTGAAGGACTTGAAATAAATAATTGCTTTGAAATGTCAATTTTACATCTTTTTTTGTATCGAGGCATAATTGTTATTTATTAATTTGAGTTGTTTAATTTATTTCTGAATTCGTTTCAGACTAGTGATTTGTCGCCTTAGTTATGGCCCTTGAAAAATGAAACTTTGAAAATATGAAGTTACAAGTATTGTTACGATTTGCATGCATAAACTAACGAACTCGGGGTTGCAATTCAGAAAATGCCATTAGCGTTAAATATCGATCATTCCAGGGCTTGAGCGAGCTTTTTTCTGTGGTGTGGGGTTTATTCACTGTTCGAAGCCGAGCGAAAACTGGTTTATAATGATCACACTTTTGATTATTGGCTTTACTTGATAGTCATTTAATGTACAAATATACCACACAAGTTTTACACGAAACCATTGGATTGGCATGAAATTTCTGATGTCTTCTGATTTTTTAGTCAATAAGAAGTCAAACTTTCCGCTATACGGTATTTGCATGTATAGATTAAAATACAAAACATAAGAAATAAAAAATTCTGATAAAAAAGTTTTAATGAAAGAAAAAATAAATCATCATGATGTGTAAAAACACGGTAAATACATTTAGAAAAGTGTCTTTTTTACCTCCTTCAGAGGTATCTTTCCTTAAAAGTCAAAACGTATAGTCAAATTGGTAAGAAAAGAATTGTGAAAATTATATGACATTAATATGTGTTCTTAAACATACAAATCCCTCTTATTGTTTTTAATGTTATAAACGTTTGCATGAATTGTACAAGTAATCCATACTTTCACGACTACCCTCTGCCATTAAGGGCATACAATACAACTACAGGGGAGTTAATGGCGTTGCTAACGTAAAATGTAATTTTCGCGAGGTCAAACTGTGTCATATCGGGAAATGACTGGTTTTTTTTTTGTGATTTAAACTGATTTAACTTGAAAACGAGTACATGGACCCCTCTTTTTTAAAATTGCATTATGTTTTATTACGTATGAAGATTATTTGTACCAATTTTAATGAAAAAGTCAACTTTTTTTTTAAATTTGATAAATATACCGCAAAAATGCCGTGAAGGTATATTTTTATTATATAATTGAATTGCTTAGGTGAAAAACTATAGCGTGTATGCAAATTTTCGTAAAAGAAAACATCATGGGATCAAAACTGTATTGTATGCCATTAAAGAGAAACTATAAAATATTTGAAATACCAGATTAATGTTAAATATACTTGAAAATTCATTCACTTTAGCTTAAATGTTTTATCTAGAATATGCAAGTTCTTTTTCGATACCGGTAGATGTAATCTACAAGATCCTACAAGGTAGTAAAATTTAAAATTTCTCCGTCTTATCTTCTTATGATAAGGGGTTCCAAAAAAAATCTGATAACCTCTACATAAATCTCTATAAAAAGTAAAATTCGTAAAAGTTAATATTTGTATACATCATATCAAAAATTTTGAATGAAAAGTTAAAAAGTAACACAACTTCAAATGAAAAATGTTGAAATTAATACAAAAAGCACCTCTTGCAAAAGGGAAACAAACTACTAGGCTGTACCAACTGGTTTGCTGCCTTAAGCTAAGGTATACTAATTGATGATTGAATGGCATTGTTTCTTACAATTTTGGATATCAATCAAATGAAAATTACGATTTAAAGCGCTAATTACAAAACATACGTACAGATATGAACTAATTGCTTCAAAACAAACAGTCCAGGAAAACTTCAATAACTTGGTATATGGTAATAGGTTATAAATAACATATACTCCATCCTTATGGGTTAAATGCAGATAACATTTTGAAACAATTTTTTATCATTATCTTGAAACGGTATTTTATCTAAATGTATTTAACATTTTGTTGAATTACATTAAAACTTTGAGAACCTAGTAGTAGTAAAAAGTACCCATAATCAAGGTATATGAACCTACGTGGGAAATGAATAAATAAGATTGGTCGATAGAATGATTACGAAATTATAATGAGCATTTGCGTGACTGAGTATTTGAAAGAGATGATATAATGATGGCATATACCCACGCTTGCAGTATTTCATGTTTGTCAGATTGGCTCTAAATGTTTTAGTTTCACAGATATAAGCCAAAATCTACATTTTACCCCAATGTTCTATTTTTAGACATGGTGGCCATCTTGATTATTGGGCGGGGTCATCGGATACTTTTTTCAAACTAGATACCCTAAGGATGATTTTGGCCATATTTGCCTTAATTTTGCCAGTAGTTTCAGCGGAGAAGATTTTTGTAAAAGTTAACGACGACGACGTATGCCAAGTGATGAGAAAAGCTCACTTAGCCCTCTGGACCAGGTGAGCTAAAAAAGCAAAACGGACAAAAAGCAACGGACAAAAAGCAAAAGTGTCGGACAAAAAGCAAGATTATCGGACAAAAAGCAAAAAGGACAAAAAGCAACGGCCAAAAAGCAAAAGTGTCGGACAAAAAGAAAAATTATCGGACAAAAAGCAAAACGGACAAAAAGCAACGGACAAAAAGCAAAAGCGGACAAAAAGCAAATTGCGGACTAAAAGCACCGTATCACACACATTCGAACTTATATTGCTGCATGGATCTTAAAATTAAGTTATGCACAAAAGAACAAATTAACCCCTGTTCTACCTAATGTAACGTGCATAGTCTATTTTACATACATATGACATCATTATCCTTCCTATGTTTTTTTTTTGTGAAGGAAACGTAGTAAGAACAGTACGAATAAACAGACTTAGGATATACATATCTATGTCAAATTCCTGATGGAAAATTCGTGGTTACATCAACATTTGATTACATTTTGAAACATATTATAAATATTGTTAACACGTCGATGCTATGGGTGGTTTCTTTAAATAACGAAAATAAAAAGAAGTTGCATGAATTATCAGACTACAATTTGTAATGCTACTGTGTATTATAACATATGTGAATCAAGCAAACGATGGGTTTGCATTGACCTGCACTCTACAATGTTTGCCACGGAAATGTTCACATTATGATTTTAATTCAGTTTTGGTATGTTATATTTCATATGTTCAACTTACCTCGTTCCGAAAGTTGATCTCAATTCCATTATCAATAAGCAAATGGACAATATCCGTATATCCTCTTCTTGCAGCACTATGTAGTGCTGTCGAACCATCCTTGATAGAAAAACAGTTACGTGTTAAAAAACGGGCATCAGTGGAAGTGATGTATATAAGTGTCCTGCAAAGTCATGCATTGCATGAGAAGTGTTATGGTAGTGTGCAATGGTATGTTTTTATTGGTATAGAATTCTAAGCGTTTGTCATACAAGTGAGAGGTTTAGCTAGCTATAAAATCAGGTTTAATCCACCATTTTTTATACAAGGAAATGTCTGTACAAATCAGGAATATGACAGATGTTTTCCAATTGTAAGATTATTAAGCTTCTGATTTTGCCTTTTTATAAAGAACTTTCCGTTTTGAATTTCCTTTGGAGATTTTGTTATTTGACTTTTTGCTATTTCTTTAAAGGAACAATCCAGTATCTCCTAGTTGTATCCCTATCTCATGATTTTCTTGATAAAGGGTAACTTGTCGCAAAGAAGCGATTACATCGAAGTGGTTCAACTGAGGTCATCAATTTAAAAGTTGTACGGGTGTAATTATGTGTTGGTTGAACGTTGTGGAATATCTATGTCGCACAGTTATGTTCCGCTTGTCATAATAACAATATTTTCTATCGATTTTGACTTAATCAAAAGAGATTTCATACCAAATTTTATATTGCTTCAGTAACAAGATGGGTACTATCTTTGGAGGAGGAAATGATTCTCCGTCTTGAACACTTGAGTTCAACTCCGGGGTTTTGGAAGGGTTTGTTTTCATGAGTCGGTCAGTTATGTTTTGTAATAATTGTTTGTTCATTCGTTGAGTTTAGTGTTGTGCAACTAGTTGTCTGTGTTTGTTTTTATTTTGACTTGGTGCTTTCACATGGTGCTACGATATCTTCATTCTTTTTGTTAAATGTTTATCGTAGTATTTTGGACATTTAAACGGGCGTGTTGAATCGGCTACTATATTGATGGTCAGTGCGAATTCCGGAATATGATCTCTTACCTTTTTAGGTCAATGTCTGAGAAAAACAATTAATGTATGTTTAGAAGCTGATGTGTCAAATACAAACAGTTCATGTTTTCAGACTTTGCTCTTAAGATTGATAAAAAGTATTAGTAAATATATAGTACTCAAAGGTAAATTCAAAACGAGGTAAGTCCGTTAAACATTAGAAATCAAACGTTAGAATGTACCGACCAGCTCAAACAATGGAAACAATCAGTCATATTCTTGAACTGCTTAATATACTGTTTTTCTCATTGTTGAAGGGCATACGCTGACCTGTAGTTGTCATTTCATCTTTGGCAGGAAGATGTCCCACTGGCAATCGTACCACATTCTCATTTCGATACTTTATGAAGAAAATGTTATTGTTTTAGACCTTGATTAACAGCTATCTAAATCTCCCACTGATTTGTTTATAGTTCTATTGTGTTGACTAAATTGGGTGACATCTGATATTAAATGGATACAGCAACAAGCATCAAATTCTGAGCACAAATATACATTGCATGAACCCATTTTAGTGCACGAAAGTTGTAGACATGAAATTTAACATATAAAAATGCGCGTCCGGTGCAGTACAATTGCTTCCGTGTAAAATGCTCTCTTTCTCTCTCTCTCTCTCTCTCTCTCTCTCTCTCTCTCTCTCTCTCTCTCTCTCTCTCTCTCTCTCGTGTCCTTGTTCGAACTCTTCGTGTTTTATGAGATGTTTATACTTGGTAGCAGGGTTGAAACCTTAAATGGATATGCAGCATCATTGGTGCAGTTAAATTGTCATTGCAGATATTGACATGTGACTGATAATTGATCAATTTGATTGATCACCCACTGACCTTTTCAAGTAAGTTGACATCAATACCAGCGTCGATCAGCATCTTAACAATTTCTGTTGTACCGTTTAATACAGCAAGGTGAAGTGCAGTTTCACCATTCTGGATAGAAAAAAAAACATTTAAGCATCACGTTGAATGATAAATGAGGCAACTAAAAAGACATTTAAACAATTCAGGGTTTCACTTAGCTAATAATAAACCCGGTAGCCAATATCAGAGTTCAATCAGACATGAACATTATTGCATTCTTCATGTATGTTTTTTATATGATAAACACATTCAAATTGTCAAACAAATAAAAACTATACCTTGCAATGACGTAAGGATATAACTATTTTTTTTCTTTTAATTATAATCTGTTTGATATTTGTAAATACGATTTCTAGAAAACTGAAAACATTAGACACCTGAAGTATCATGAAGTCTGTCGACGACCACAATAACACTTAAACAATGAAATCACATATATGGCAAAACTTTTGAATCAAGAATATATTTGATCTACAGTATAGGGAATGATCAAGAACCTTAAAATTAAGAGTTAACACATTCTTATGCGATCTTTACATGTAATAAAACATTGAGGAAGTCTTATCGCAGCCGAGAATTAAAAGTATTACAACTTGAAAGTTTTACGGGACGTCAAATGTCGTAACAATAATGCATACAGTCGTTTTGGCAATATATAACGCTTTATTTTGCGTTGATATGCCAATGTAATTGACAATTGTACAAAGGTTTTATTATACATTGAACTACATACTCCCTTTGCTCTCTGAGTATACATTGAACTACATACTCCCTTTGCTCTATGAGTATACATTGAACTACATACTCCCTTTGCTCTATGAGTTTACATTGAACTACATACTCCCTTTGCTCTATGAGTATACATTGAACTACATACTCCCTTTGCTCTATGAGTATACATTGAACTACAAACTCCCTTTGCTCTATGAGTATACATTGAACTACATACTCCCTTTGCTTTATGAGTATACATTGAACTACATACTCCCTTTGCTCTATGAGTATACATTGAACTACATACTCCCTTTGCTCTATGAGTATATTTTCATGATTTATACAGTTATGTTGATTAAATATTGGACCTATCATTTCTAGAGCGCACTACGTTTCCTTTTACTGTCGGTTTGTATTATCATCCAGATTGTTATTCACCTCAGTTTAAAGTATTAATTTTTCCTGCTAATTTGTCTAACAATTTGGGAAAGTTAGTATGGTCATTTTTTTTTATGAGTTTTAGAATAATTATTGCAATAATTATGAATATTACTGAAATCAATATTTTTAATCTGTGAGAGCAACCTTAGATTTCACAAACAGCGGTAGTGCAATATTTTGTTGAATAAAAACAAAGATTAAATATTATACTGGATAAATGAAAAAAGATAATGCTATAAACTATTTTTTTTTGTCAATGATTTCTCACTTTGTTATGATTAAAAGTCATATTCAACAGCCTCACAACACCTATTGTTAATATGATAAATGAAGTCATACATAACTTCTATGTCATTAAGGCTTAAGTCGAGAGTTGTTTCACTTGGCAATTAAGCCACATTCTCTAATTTGCATATAACAATCTAATTTCGGAAAAAATAACTTGACTTGGAAATAACATAATGTGATGGCAACCAATCAATTAATACCCGATATTTTTCATTGGCTTGAGGTATAGGGAGCGGGTTGATATCTCACTAAACACGATTAACCCCGCCACATTTCTGCGCCTGTCCCAAGTCAGGAGCCTCTGGCCTTTGATAGTCTTGTATGTTTTTTTAATTTTAGTTCATTTACATGTTTTGGAGTTTAGTGTAACGGTCCATTTTCACTGAACTAGTACACGTTTTGTTAAGGGGCTGGCTGAGGCCCGCCTCCGTGTGCGGGATTTTCTTGCTGTGTTGAAGACCCATTGGTGGCTTTCGGCTGTTTTCGGTCCTTTGATCCGGTTGTTGTCTCCTTGACACATTCCACATTTCCATTCTCAATTTTGCTCCTCAAGTTTTGTTGCTCGATCCATTCAAACAGTTTTTGTCTGTTTTTAATTTGCTTTAGACGTTTAGATATGATTGTATAAATATGAAGTTTTAATCCTGCCATGAATGTAAAAGATAAAATTTTACTACCATAGTTTGTTTCCAGTATTGTTAATTTTTCTACAGCAATCTGTATTGATTGTTTCTACAGCAATCTGTATTGAGTTTGTGCTTTCTTATGCAGTGAAGCATTGTCATTCTAGGTAAAAAAATATCTTATATTGTGTAATATTTAAAACAGTGCAGTTTATTTAATTTCCAGTAATTGTGTCAGTGTGCTCTTGATTTATTTTATAAGGTTTGGGCATGTTAAATAATGTTTATATTGTATTTCGTATAATATTATCTCATCACATTTTAATTGTCATTGATTGTAAGCTTCGTCACTAGAATTGTAACAATACTACCTTTTGTTTTTGAGCGTGCATACTCGACAATGTATATTGTGACCCCAACTCTAGGGACATTTTTTAAGTTAAAACAAACTTTTCCATTGTCCTGCATTCTACAATGTTGGCAATGGAATATATTAATTTTTAACTTATCACTAATGTTTATTAAGTTTTAAGTAACATAAATGAAATGAACACTTATAAATGTCGTGCCTTCGATGCGCTTTTGTGGATTTAACTCCATCAGAAACACTCAAACCTTTACATTTCAAAGACAAGTAAATACGTAAATACGCTGCAACATTAAGAGATACTTCACTAAAGAGTATCCAAACACACAACGCAGCGAGGTTAAGGCACATTGAAGGAAAATCAATTAATTTTGGCCCTAATTTGTATCTGCAAAAAAACACGCTTGTTATCACCTATAACTTGGTTAAAAGTAAATGCCAATGTCTTTATTTCCAAAAAAAAACATACATGTAAACAGTTGTATTACATTGTAAGGTCTTGCAGTAGAGTGAAAGTAGTCACGTGACCACTAATCTAAAAACAACCGTAGCGATCACAAAATTGAAAAGTGCAGGTTGAAGATAACCACGTACAAACGCCAACCAAGAAATTCTAGACACTGCTAGGTATACTTTATATAAAAAACTGCTATCACAAGTTCAATATTTACCTTTAAATTGAAAATTGATTATCTTTACGAGTAAAATGGCATAAAGAGGCAAAAAATACCCTCCCGATGGCGCTAGAAAAATGATCCACAAATATTTTAATTGTAACAGCACTTTTTATAAACAGCAACTTCTTCTGAATCTATACATGTCTGAAATTAAGAGGTACTCATTGATATTCAACCTGCACTTTTCGTATACAAAAATAGTTGTTGAATTGTTTTTAGTTTCCGAGATAAAATACAAACGCACAAGAGACGGAGAAAAGCAAAGATGGAATAAGACGGGTCAACAACCCGGAAACGGGGAAGTTTGGAGTATAACATTTTATTATTACCATCGATGAAACATTCGTTTTTTCTTTATCATTTGAAATTAATTTCTATAAAAATAAAATATTTCAAGATATGCTCAAGTATTCCAGTTTTCTTGGAAGATTCCAACATACATAAGAGGTCGTACAAGCTTGATAACAGAGATAAAAATTACCCGAGAACTGGTTGGCGAACAAAAATAATAAGATAAATATCATAGCACTACCCTCCTACACAGTATGTGTTCCACAAATGTTGTATACCAATGTATTAATTGCAAAGTATTTATGAAAAACGAGACGATCGTTCTACTCACTCTGAGCAATGTATAGCTTACCTGTATTAAAAAGATTGACTGATTTATGAAAAACGAGACGATCGTTCTACTCACTCTGAGCAATGCATAGCTTACCTGTATTAAAAAGATTGATTGATTTATGAAAAACGAGACGATTGTTCTACTCACTCTGAGCAATGTATAGCTTACCTGTATTAAAAAAATTGACTGATTTATGAAAAACGAGACGATCGTTCTATTCACTCTGAGCAATGTATAGCTTACCTGTATTAAAAAGATTGATTGATTTATGAAAAACGAGACGATCGTTCTACTCACTCTGAGCAATGTATAGTTTACCTTCATTGCCCATTGCCTAATATTAGTAACGAGACGGTCGTGGTACTCACTTTGATTAATGTATAGGTTACCTTTATATTAAAGATTGACTGATATTAAAAACAAGAAATTGGTCGTTTGTTTCTGTTTTCTTTACGTTTATTTGTGATTTGCACAGACGTTGGTAAGAAAAGAGAAAACAGTTATCTGCATGCAAAGCAATTAAATGCACTTCCAATATATTTTCGAGACACAAATTGAAATAATGTCATTATATATCTATGTTTTAATTTGTTTATAATAATAATAAGGCTTCGTTAAAGTATTTTGTTTTCATGGTCCTTTTAAAGAAATGTTAAGAAAAAAAACCCTGCTTAAACACAATATATATATATTGGATTTTACATATAATATTATTCTACATATTATTACTATCTTAATGTATACTTGCAAGGTAATCACTAGCGCATACAATTTTACGAGAAATATACCATTAGAAGAGAGGCGAAAAATAAAAATGGACATTTTAAGTCAAACGTCGAAAATAAACTGACAACGGCATTGGCAAAAAAAAATATCCAAAACACAAACAACAGTTCACAAAACACAGCAATTGAAACTAAAAACTGGACAACACGAACAAAAGCGGGGGTGATGTCAGATGCTCTGGAAGGACATACAGACCTTTCTCAACATGTGGCACCCGTCGTGTTGCTCATGTAAGTTCAAACAAAGCATTTCTGATCAATTATATACCAGAGTTGAAAAAATGAACAGACATATGTTATTTTTTTCTTAAAAAACGGATAGCAGCACCTGAGAACCTTTTGAAGAGATGACTGCGATAATTTTTTCATGATTATCCCTTAGAAAACAAACTACTCTCATTCATGGCATGCCTACAAATAAACCTGGTATATCTCATCAGTTGTGAGAGATATACTCCGCAGGAAGGAGCTACTTGAATGTAATTCCAAATAAACGAAGAACATTGAAGCGAAAACAATAACTCTCCGGTGTCAAATTTAACGCCGACATAA